GCCGAGATTTTAATTATGCGTCCTTTTTTTTCTTTTTATTTCTACTTTTCTTTTTTTTCTTTTTTCTTTTTATTTTCTTTTTTTTCTTCTTTTTTTTTTCCCTTTCTTTTTATAAAAAAACCCCACATTCCCTCCAGCTACCGGGCTCACCACAAGTTCTGTTACAAACACCGCCGGGGCGGCTGCGGGGAGCGCTTCCTGCTGCGGGCGGGAGGATGCTGCGGGGAGCCGGGTCCGGCCCTGCATCCCCTGCGGTGGGGACACCGGCCCTTGGCTGCGCTTCCGTCCCTTCCACCGACCCATCGCTGACGGTTTCACCCCCTTGGGATGCTGCCCAAGCTGCCGATGCCTCCTGCTCTTGCAAAATCCTTAAATCCCCCCAAAAACACAACCAGAAATAAGCTACTTTGGTTTTTTTTCTCTTTTTCCTCATTAATAAACCCCTTGTGGGAGGTCCCAGGGTCAGTCTGGGGACACCCAGGCACAGAGCTGTGTCCCCTCGGGTATTTTCAGTCACCTATTCCATGGGTCACCTGGGTCACCCCATTGCTCCCTGGCATCGGGCGAGACCCAACCCGGTTAAACACCGGCTCAGAAACCATCTGGTGATGCTCAGCTCCTGGGCTGAGCGTCTTCGGCACCGCGATGCCGCGGCACCGCGCGGGTGGCTCCAGGGCAGGGGCAGTTTTGTGGCAGAGCCGAGGAGGTCACAAAAAAAAAGTCCCCAGGGTGATTTTTCAGCCCTGAAGAAGGGTGAAAACCTTCGCTAAAGAAGCAGTTTAGTATGAAATCCTCACGTCCGGACGGTGCGGAGGTGATGGAGGAGATCAGGGCAGAGGGGACTGAGCTGGGGGAGGAAGCCCAGGGAGCCCAGGGATGAGCAGTGCTAAAGGAGCCCGCAATTAGCTGTGCGCCTTGATGAACCAAACGAGCTGCACTTAACAGCATGTTGGGGATGAGAGGGCAGGAGGAATCACAGAATCCCAGCATGGCAGGGGTTGGCAGGGCCCTCTGTGGGTCCCCCAGCCCAACCCCTGCCCAAGCAGGGTCACCCAGAGCAGGCTGCACAGCACCGCGTCCAGCCGGGGCTGGAATATCTCCAG